GAATTTAAATAAAACCAAGCAATGATTTATAGACAGTTGTGTTGCTGTCACGCACACGAATAAACCTTTGAATGACTGGTAGCTGTGCGTTGCTACCAGCAATTGTGCTAGAAATGATACGATAACTTACCCCTGTGCCAACTGAACTCAAGGACGAGTTGCTAAGAATGTTTTAAATTATAAAAGTGAATGCAAAATAATTCACCCTTATATCAAAAACATTGTAAAACAAGAATTACTACTGGAAAATATTGTATTCTAAATTTGATATATATATATCTTGAAGATTTTAAGTTACAAAAGTGGCAAGGGTGCAGAATTTGGTCTTAGAGTTTGTCTAGGCATGATTGCGACGTTGTCCTCGTATTTAGTTACACTGTAATTGCGGAGACAGCAATAAACTATATAGGAGATTGCTGGGAACAAGGGATACTCGTACAACTCCTTGAAAATGGATTGGAACATGCGTGTCCTTGATGTCTAAGTGTTTTATTTCTAGGGGTTCTCAGAACGAAAAACTGTGCCATTAGGATTTAATTTATTGTTATGTAGTGAACTGTTACTTGAATGGGCACATTTTAAAACATAGGCCCGTATTCCAAGATGTTCCTTAAAATAAGGTCAACTTTTATAAAGGCTTCCTTTGATGAGGTGTTCCTTGGTAAAGGAAGGCCTGACGAAATGGTATTCTAAGACCACACTTTAGCCTCTCCTTTGATAAGGAATTACTTTGACAAAAGTCAGCCTTTAGGTTAGGGACACTGACATAAAGGAGCTCCTCATTGGTTAGAGTAGGCCTTTGTGACACCCTCCTCGTTAAAAATGCCTTAGTAATGCTGGGTCAACTGATCAACTTCAGTCATGCAACCGCGCCTATGGACATTATCACTGCATGTGGATCTTTTGATCTAAGCCAAATTTAGTGAATAAAGCAAGTATGGCAAGAAGAGAAAAGAATGGTTTGGAGGATGAGTAAACCAAAGTCGTAGACCCTTTTCTGATATCGAAAAAGCAGCTACCGATGCAACTAGTCAACAGAGAAAAGCCTATCCTCGATCAAACCCCTGTTTGTTTGTCTGTCTTTTTGTTACCTCCACCAAGGAGGTTATGTTTTCATCCCTGTTTGTGTCTGTCTTACTGTCTGTCTGTCTGCCTGTCTGTCTGATTGTTTGTTTGTTTGTTTGTTTGTCATCAACATAACTCAAAAAGTTACGGGCCGATTTTGATGAAATTTTCAGGGTAGGTCAGAAATGGGTTATATTTGAAGTGATTAGTGTTTGGTGGTGATCAAGCTCAATAATCAATCAATTATCATTAATAAAAAAACTCAAAAAATTATGGACCAATTTTTATGAAATTTACAGGGTTGGTCAGAAATGGGTTAACTTAGAAGTGGTTAGTTTTTGGTGGTGATCAAGATCAATAATCAATCAATAATCAATAATCACAAATAACTCAAAAAGTTATGCGCCGATTGTGATGAAATTTTCGGAAACTGTCACAAGTGGGCCAAGGGACAGATTATTCGTTTTTGGTGGTGATCTGGATCAGTAATCAATCAATAATCAAAAATAAAAAACTAAATCATTATGGAATGAAAATTGGGTGGAGACTTCGCTCTCGGAGTGCTTTTCTAGTTGAATTTAATGATTTTGAATTTAGGTAGGCATGTTGGCTTATGTAGTCCTCCGTGGAGCTGATTTTCACAAGAGAAATGTACACGATGGCTGCTTAAGGAAGACTAGAAGTTACTCCAGACAAACCTTACATTTTAAGGAATACTCAACCGAAAATAAAGGAAATCTTTAAGCAAAGGCAGATTCTAGAAATGACCGATTCCTTTGCTAAGGATGATTGTTAAGTGATTCCTTTCAAGTGAGATAAAGAAAGGTCTTGGAATACAAATGTTGTATAAGGTCGACTTTAAGTCTCCCTTAACGCTAAAGGGAGATTCTGGAATACGGACCATGAGGGTAAGGGAAATACCGGTATATCATTCATAATTTAGAATTTATTTTAAATCCACCAATGACATATAGAGCGTTGTATTACTGAAGGAATGCTTTAAACATAAAAGTTTTCTAAGATGGTTACATGAAATATATCTTTTTTACGCTGAATCGGAGCTCTAAACATATAAGTTAAAGGTCGTAGCTATAAAGGGAGAGGAGTTGTTCATAATAGGGGATCTCAGTTAGAAATAAAGTGTCTTTGTGCAGCTGAATCGGTACTCTAATCATGTAAGTTAAACATGTTGTATAAGGTTTTATCGTGTTTAAGTAAATTGGAGACAAAAGCAACAACCCAGATTGCAGAAAATAACCCAATGTTGGCAGGGTTGGCAATGGATTTCCAACCTTCTGCCAACGTTAGGCCAATCTTGGTATGTTGTCCTTGGCTTTTCAACTTTGGACCAATGTTGGTAAGCCTCGGTCACAACTGGCCGTAGGGGCTCTTGCGGGCTGTTTGCATCCAAATTTTGCGCAGAATCTCACGTCCCACGCAAGTCCTTCTTACGCAATTTCGAGTTCGCAGACAGCCCGTAAGCACGTACTGAGGATGTTGGACATGTCAAAAAGATTCTACGAATAATCTGCGAACAGCGAGGCCGCAAGCGTAACTTGCTCCCCTCGCACGGAGTTAGCAAGAGAGACGTGCGTTGTGCAAAACGCACGTCGCAAGCTATGAAGGAGCAAGAGCCCTTTGCGTGTTGAGTAAGGCTCACGCCCTCACAACTAACGAACAAAGTAGAGAGCACACTGGGAATGCGTCGCACGTGCGTCACCCCCACGCCTGGTGTATAAAAGGCGTGCTCACGACGCACGCTCGTGTCTTTACAATGAACGTCGACAGTGTAACGTGTACAACAATTTTCAAAAATTTTAAATTTTTGCTCAATTTAGTTTCTAATATGCCTCCAAAAGGCAAGAGAAAGAAGCTTACATAGTAAAAAAAAAAAAAAAAAGGGAGGAGGGAGAAGAAAGAAGAGGGGAACAGGAAGCAAAACTGACGTACGCCGTCAGGACGTCACCACAATCGTGTGAGGCAAGTGTGAAGCAAAACTAACGCAAAAGGGCACTACTTTCGTCGTGCGTTGCATTCCCTTAGTAAGTGGTGAGTGTGTGCCACGTACACAGACAGCAAGACAAACTCAAGAAATGAGTACAATTTTTGCTCCTTGCAATTAGCGTCTCTGCTTGCAAGGACATCTCATGTGGCCCTTGCGACTCGCAAGGCAGACTTTCCTCTACTTCTACGACCTCCACGCAGGGGACGATCCTGAAATTCGTGCGTCCGGTTGTGACCGAGGCTTAATATTGGTCATACAACCAACTATGCGTTGGACCAGTGTTGGGCTAATGTGACGTTTGTCAATCTGGGTTGATTGCAATCAGAAAAAATTAAATGAAATGGTGATGAATATATTCTGAAAAGAAAAATTGCAAAATTTTGCAATGAAAAATATTCTTTGTGATTAATCAGCGGATGGCAATCTTATAACATTCTCATATTCATCGTCGAAAGTAACCCAAACAATAACATGAAAGTTACATGTAGTTATTTTTTAATGTTCGTCTCTAAATGATAATAACACATGTTTTATAAATATATCACAGTCCTTTTTTGCTAAAAAATTGTACCTTAATATTTTTTCTCTTTCTGGCTCCAATGGGATCTAGGCTTTTCGAGTGTAAAGCCAAAATATATTTCCGATTTCAAATTATGTTTACGGTGGTGGACAATTTATGGGGGACAAAGATCCCCAAAAGCATATAATATTCTACTCAATTGTTTAAAGGCATATATTGATTTCTTTTAAAATAGTAAATCAGAATCGGACCCCCCCCCCACACACACAGACACGCACGCGCGAGGGCGCGCGCACACACACACACACACACTCAGAGAGAGAGAGAGACAGAGAGAGAGAAGAGAGGAATACAGACACTGAAAGCTGATTTTTGTTGTATTGATGAAACCTTAATGGAAGAGATATAAGAGATTATGGAATAATAAGAGATTACGGAATCTATTTGCCTGAAAAGATGTTCCTGCTTTCGATTAAATTAACGTTTTTGATTAAATCAATGTCTTTTTTATTTCACTCTCATTATTGTGTGTGTGTGTGTGTGTGTGTGTGTGTGTGTGTGTGTGTGTAGGGGGGGGGGAATACGTTGGGAGGTAATGGTCCAGGAGATTCGGGAAGTTGAATTTCGGATGCGCTCCATTGGGTACACTGATGCCCTTAAAGTACGGCTAATACTTGTAAATGATGCCCTAAAAGGCTAATAAATTTAGTTTTTATGTTTTGAGTTAGAGAGTTTAACAGCTATGCAGGTAGAAGATATAATTTTTGGGACATTCAAAGGCGGACAGTAACTGTATCACGTGGTGAAATAAACCGAAAAAGAAAACACTTGTGTTCCTAACAAACGTTGAAAGAGTGCATATACTGACACCCAAGCTTATATGAAAGTTTGTATATAGTGACACCTAAGCCAACTGATCTCTCGGGCGAGTAGCTTAGAATGTTAACATCAAAGAGAAGGGAAAACATAAATCAAACTTAAGTGTAACTATTATTTTACCTGGAAGTATTTATATTAGTAAATTGCCAAAGTTTGTAAGAATCCATTTAGACAAGAATTTCTGTTATAACAGTACCGAAGTCCACAGTGTTCGGCCTTAGATTCTGTCTCAACATGATTGTGACGGCGTCCGTAAATTTCATCACATTGTGCTTGCGAAGACCGCGATTAATGATAGAGGGCGCTTATTTGCTTATTTTCTTTTAGTTTCTTAAGGTAACATAACAAGCAATCTTAAAATCAGAACGAAACTTTTTTATTGAATGAACTTATTTCCAGCGAATTTTATATATTACGTTTTAAATATGTGCCTTTCCGTGATAAAAATTATTCACCGAGTTAAAATACATCTTTATAGATCAAATAAAACTATGTATAGAAACACCCAAGCTTTCGGTATATGCCCGGAAACTCTGCACCACGTGCTACGAGACATAAGGGTTTATTGACTATGAAGTGAGTCGAAACATAAACGAAGATTGATTTCGAAATTAGTCCGACTTTGATACAATTCAATTCATTAAGCGATCGAAAAGAGTGAACACACGTAGCTACGTTGCATTATTTATTAATGAAATTTTCAACAATATCGGGAATTTGCAATGATGTGAATTTAATGAAATACAAAATCTCTGTGGAACATATGTGGAACAGTGCAGTTCAACTGGCGGTGTGTGCCACTGAGGCGAAAATATGGTTAGTCTTCACCAACTCACAGTACTTTCAACACTGCATCGCTTTTGTGGTTTACTGTACGAGTGTTCACGGTTATTTACGTTATGTTTATAAACGGTACTCAGAAAACTACCCAGTTTAATTATCAAATAGATTCTTTCTCTCTCAGTTATTTTTCATTATAATTAGCGTAGTTGTAGTAAGTCATACGGTGTAATGCACATTGAGTATTAACATGTTTTGTATCAATCGTTAAGAATCCAGGGGGATTCCTTCCCTTTCGTAGAACCTATCGACTTCCGTGATCATGTATTTCAAATCTTGAGACGTTTCTCGGAGGTCCTTTTTGAGTTGGTTAATGAACTTGGGGTTCTCGAAGTCTACCTCACTTTCAGCAAAGGCCTTGGCAAGGGTAGAGCCGTCTGATCCCACGGCGGACAAACCAACCTGAAAGCATATTAATTGATTAATTGTAAAATCTTTATCTATATCAAAATAATTAGAGGATGAAGGTAAGGATTGAGGTGCTGCTACACAAGAAACCTATGAGCTATTTTCACTACGTTTCTACTAGTTCTCTGTGCATGCACCGTGTTCTGTTGGTACCATGCACCGTGGTATGACCAGACGGCAATATGTGATAGTGACTTTTCTCTTTCACGTTAAGAATCTCTCTCTCTCAAACTCAAACTGAAACTCACGTCTCGGTCTATTTCCACCGCCAGGCTACGTGCATATATCCCGAAAAACTTTCTCATTGCTACTACTTTATAAGTTAAAATAAACAGTTTGAAATAACATTTTTATAAACATGTTTACTATTCTCATACGGGTAGTTGTAGTGATCAACGCCTATCAACAAGCTATATAGCCTACATTAATGCTACTCGTCTGAGCTTATCAAATCTTGAAGATACCGGTTACCACTGCCAGATTATGCCGGTACATGTCACATAGGACAAGAGCAAAATGAGCAGGGTTAGTGAACTTTTGTACCCTTTGAAATAAAAATACTAAGATTAAGTCCACGCTTTATACGGATATGGGGGTGGGGGGATTATTTGTATTAAAATAAAGAGAATTTTGATATTGATACCCATTATATAACTTATATAAACCATATTCAAAAATTGAATTTCATTTACTGTAGTATTAAAAAAGTTCGAAATTCGAGATAATCATAGAGGGTTACGCTGGCGGTACGCGGTGATGGGGTACTGTTGGAGCCACAATAGTTAACACATTTTATGTCTGGTGTTTCGGCACAGACAAATAATCTGAAGCTAACAGAAGTAAAACTTTAAGTATTGAAAGTATGTGTTTAGTATTGAAATCAAAATTCATGGGATGGTAATTTCCACGTAAATATTTTGTTCTCTTTTTTTTCAGTTATTTTCCACGCGTGTAAATCCCGCCTTTAGGGTAAAGTAAACCAAATTTTCAAATATAAGTCATTTGCAGGCCACAACTAACTGGCCTCTCCTCCAATACAGCTAGGCTACCTTTACCATACTGTCATATCTATTAAATCATGTCCAAATCCCCTACACTTACTGAAAACATTCCCCGTACAACCCAGCCGTGGTACGGCTTGAGGCTGAGTTCATAGGCTTTGGTGGCTGCCTCTGATACATCTGATAGCTCTGAACTTCCCGTGGACAGCCTGTATATGAACTCCTGGATGAAGTGAACTGACCTAGAAGAAGATGTGAGATAAACACTGGGTAATTTTTATGAAATAATATTTCTGCCATGGAATCCAGATGTTACGATTATTCATTCGTCTTTAACGAAAACGTAAGCACAACTGATACACATGTATAACTGTCGCTACGCCATTTTTAAAGATGTAATGAAAATCCTCTGCAATGTAGTTTGTTACTGAATCCAATATTTTGTGATTTCTTAGACAGTATTAAGTTAATATTCAGCGTATCTTTATTATGTGGAATGATAAAGCATATACCTTTTCATCCAAAGAAGAGCCTGGGTAACCGAGTCGGGAAGCTGAGTTTCGCCAGCATTTTTTTCTTTCAAAACTAACTCTTGAAGCGTTTTGGCGGACGGATTTAGGTCGTATTGAAGACTTATTTTCTGAAAAAAGTAAATGATTGATCAAAAAAGCAGTGACATTACTATGATGGGCGTAAAGGTCAGATAACTCAAGGGGTATAGTCAAATATTTATCTCCAGTCTCAAGATTGTGATAAGGAAGCACAAAACAATAGATTAAAAACAAGGCTTTTCATTTAATCAAATATGTGATATGAGATGATAAAATGAGTGAAAGATGCCTATTGTTGCTTACTTGGAAAAATAAATTCCCGTGACTATTGTCAAATGGAATAAAGAAATGTGCTTCATTCTGTTTTTATAAATGATTGTGTTGTCTTGGGCTCATTATACCAGGTAGCCCACACACTTATCCCTCCAACGCCAACACACTACTCATATAATGGTGCGTGTATAGGACCTACTGATTATTAGAGCTTTGATAGAATTGCATAGGATTTTGACCCACTTTCAAATTGAACCAAATGTTAAGTCAAGATGAAATGCACCTATTTCAACCTTACTTTATCAGTAAAGTACGCAAGTGTTATCTGCTAACTGTAGCTGTGTGACACACACGAGGAACACTTTGCACCCAGTGAGTGTTGGGGACCGAGAACTGATAAGCTATCCTTACAAGACAGTACGAAGTAATTCAACACAGAGAAGAAATGGCGAGTGGATACGTAGTTAAACAACCATTGGTGATCATAGTCGCAGTTAACACTATGTTGCAGTATCAATTGAAAAATCAAATTTAAACACAGAAAATCTGGTGTAATTTCTACCAAGTTGTGAACTACCTGCACTGTTGTTCAAAATCAGCAGGTAAAGTACTTGTCACTTGGGCTTCATTTGAACTTGGTGTATATTTCTGACACACATTATGGTGACTTACTCTTATGTTTCCGTTAAGATCCATCTTCACTGGTGAAAATGCCGCAGAATTAAGTTTATCTGAATAAAATTTAACGTCATTATCAGTTTACTCGGAAATTATAAAGGTATTAATAAATTGGAAATATTTGTATATAATTGACTTTAATCAAAATCATAATCTATTCTTTTCTAAGGTTACAAGCAATCATTTTTGTATAAAAGATTTACGCTATTTCATCTTTAAAAATCGGGAGTGCTTACAGACATGAACTGCTAATATATCATTTACAAATATACGCAACTCTCTATATCTGTAGATAAACAATATTTGTTGATATTTGCTCAATGTTCTTCTTGAATAAACAAAGACTGCGTAGACTTACACTTCGTGGACACCTACCAAATATCGATACAACTTGTTTACAGGCTTGTAAGAATGGATTGACCGGGATTCCGCCACCGCTCTCCAATTTGATGTCTTTGAACCTAATATGGTAAGATGCATCATTGTCGTTAAAGACATCGGTAGTAGTAACGGCGATCACAAAAAAATAAATAAATAAATAAATAAATAAATAAATAATAGCATGAACAATATTCCTTCAAAACCTCAAGTCATGAAAAGCGTATGTGTGTGTGTGTGTGTGTGCGTGCGTTTGTGTGTAACATATATGTTTATCAAAAGCAAATATATTTATCACAAGTACGTAGTTATCTTAACGTTATTCTGGTGCACTCAGGCACTCCATGCTACTTCAAATTAATTTTTGCTGTTTTTTTTCTGGATTACTCTCCATTACTCAATTAAAAAGTTTATTTCAGTACTTACAATTCTATGATGAAACAGCATTGTGTATTCAAGAAGTAAAAATTAAATACTATTTCAATGTTCTCAAATATGATAAAAATTGACTGAAACATCTCGTTTCATCTTTAAACGTCCCTTTATCGAACCTTGGCTTCATTTTAGAAAAGAAAGTTGGTATTTCAATCGAATCGCCTGCTTTTTCGTCGATTGAAAGAGTATTTCTGGTGAGCGGCTTAATCTGCTCTTGTCCGAAGCGGAACGGGTTGTGGCTGCCAGCCGGCCCTTCCTTTCTCCGCGATTCGACATCATCAAAATGACCAGGACGTTGGCCTTGGTGCCCGGCGTTAAACCTGAAGTACAATAAACCATTTATTGCTTCACATCACTATAGGTTTGATCCATAAACAGAGGGAACATTTATCATGTTCCCTTTACTTGAGTGGGATCTCTTTCTTACTATAACCCCCACATTACATTAAATAACTCTTTATAATACAACCCCGGGAGTGGGGCACAATGGGCTCACATCTTCGGATAACGCGGTCTGTTCAACTGCTACGGAGATTCACAAGTTCTATGTCTTAAAGTAAGCACACGAAAAAGAATGAAACGTTGTTACTTCAACAGAATATAGTTTGCTAAACTAAAAGTTACATGGTACAATAAAGACCCCTTCTCAGCCTGAACTCAATCTCCTCTCCCCTTCTAGTCTCTCTCTTCTCTTTCAAGTCTCCTAGTCACTCCAGTCTCCTTTTAGATTTTTTAAGTTCACAGATTTTTATGCTTAACTTTATCGGTTAAATTGTCAGTCAGATAATTCATTTTCTGATTGGTTAATTCAAACACAAGTCTACCCTTTTATGGTGGGCACTTCCACTAATTCCATGTAATCAAGATCTAACGGATTATTTGCTTGAAACAAAGGACATTGAAATTTGAACTACTGGGTGTGAAATATTATCTAAAGCTACTTATACATCTTACTTCTCGTGTGTGAAGTTTATCAGTCAGATAAATACTTCCACTGATTGAATTAATACCACACCAAGTATGAAACATTCGAAATATCACAATTTTTTTCAATACTGTGGTCCCTGATAATGTGACAATTACCGGATTGCAATTAGTCACCCCGACATTATTTAATAATAATAATTTTTCAATTCAATTCAGTTCATCTCTGGTACTGGTACATAGATTATCTGACCATCTGATATATGTTCTTGTACAATATAATATACAAACAACAATGCAATAGGTGTATTAGCATTCTCTAATTGGTAATTGTGTTGCCAGTTTGTGAATGAACAAACATATATCTTTATATAATGAACAGATATACTAGTTAAATTCCTAATAAAATGTTCAAGCTAAGTGGTGAGATATAACTTCTTGGTGTGATTATAAATTTACCATAAACACATGTCTTGAAGCATACAGCTACATCATATGTTACACAATATGGAGTGGTTCAAATTTTAAAGAGAGGGAAGGAGAACTACAATTACATAAAGAAATAGAAAAATAAATAACACAGTTACACAGATATAAATAGTGATTAAGTTAATTTAGCCACTGTAGGCCTATTATATTTTTAAATACACCTAAAACGGAAGTTGCTTTGTTTGTTTACAAATTTATCATTATAAACACAAGATAGAAAATACATGTGTATATTACATATGATACAAATAACTCTTAATTAATAATTTGCCGAGATACTAACACTTAGTGCAAACAACAATACTTACTTGTGAGACGGTGGTAAAATCGAACCCCTTCCTTTGAGCTTCAACGTTTTTTCACTGTGCGGCAACAGGGCAATAAACACCAAACAGAAAAAAGCCGTCGTCATTATTGGCACTATAGCCAACTTGGTCTTTTGGCCTAACCCTACCATGTTTGCTCCAGCTCAGAACTTAAATGTATACTGAACAAATAACGTTAACTGGCCTAGCCAAACCCTTGCTCACTTAACGAAAGACAAGTGAGCAATGCGAATACGTCCTTGCACAGGTGGTTATTGTGACGGCAGCGTCAAAGTTCAACTTGCATAGTGCCGGCAAATCCACTCTCCCACCTGCCCCGTAGTAACTCATTAACGAAACTTAGTGATTATCAAACGCGCTGGCAATTTTCCTCCAAGATTTGGAGGTCATCTAATGCAATCCAATCTCTTTAATTGAGGTGCAGGAGCCACTTAATTGTTAACAATATCTTCGAATACCTCATCAGTGTTGTTCTCGACCCGCCCGGGTTTCAGGGACACTGCTTGTCACTGAGGCATGGGAGAGGGAATATAACGACAGGAGTCTGAAATTTTCTTAGCGCTCTCTCTCTCATCTACAGAGTTTTGTCTCTCCCTATAATTTCAACTCGATCTCTCTTAAATACCAATCCTGCACTAATGGACTTGATTCCTTTAATCTTAATTGAGGTTCAGAATTATCAGTTCTTATGATTGAACAGAGATTAAGGATATAACCTGGTATAAAACCATTAAAAGATTTAAGAGCATAATCTGGGTGGAAAGTCAATATCACTCTAACAACATGCCATGGTTGCAAAGGTGCTAGTTTATTTTGTCACTTCACGAATTTGCCACGCATTATTTCGTGCACCAATTTCAAATATTCCTAATTTTTTTAGATATCAACTTGTACCAGTAACTATACCAGGTCGTTATCGTGTGGTTCAAGGTTATGGTTGCTATCAGTGCCACTCACGTGCATACAGGTATAGCCGGGGCCTAGCATACTCAGTGGCCTGGGTTATCTAAAGAAGGCTGGCGTGTCGTAATGGGGTTGATGCTATGTGCACCAACATGTGCGCAGTGCTCGGAGCCAATATTCAGTGTGTTACAATAACAAACCCAGGACTTGGTTACATTTAAAATAACATTTTTCTGAAAAGTGAAGGAAAATGAAACAAGTTAACTGGGTTTCTTGCAATTGTTAATTAATACGCATCCTGGTGGCAGTCAATTCCGTTTACATATATTGTGTTTACTTGAAATGTTTTATCTGTGGAAAAGATTTAAGTTGGTTAATATGTAGAAAGTGATCTGGGAATTATTTCAAAGAAAGAAAGTCCATGGTGAAACGATTTGCTTTTAATAATTTGCAGACACTCTGTAGATAAAATCTGATGAGGATAATGATTATACGAAAGAGAGAGAGAAGAAAGAAAGATTAAAGACAAACAAAGAAAAAACCGCCGACCCGACACGAAACAAAAAAATAAAAAAAAAGAAAAAGAAAGAAAGAAACAGGTTCAGATGATTGTGTTTCCTGACAGACTTCTTACATCTTTTACCATATCATATTAAAGGGACGGATCCAGGATTATTTAAAGGGGGGTGTCCGTTTATTTAAGGCATGGCAGGCCTCGGATACAAAGCCGACCCTGGCCCCCCTTGGCGTCGGGTTCGGGGCCCGCTGAATGACCCCGAAAATTTTTTGGTGTTTTGGAGGGCAAACGGTGCCATTTGATACAGAGCTAACCAAAATTCTAATTTCGATAGGGGAATATAAATGTGATTATTTTTTTCAGAAACCAACCCCCCCCCCCCTCCCGCCCCCCCATTCGGCACTGTATGACGTGATGCTCTACCGGGAAAGCTACTGAATCAATCAAGTTTGGTCGCTTTAAGCCTGCCCGGAACGTTCCTAGTTAGATGCTTTTTTTTTCATTTTGTTTTACACTGAGATTATACTAGACTCCACCTGTGACGGTAAAGAGCACGATGAGAGCCAGAGCGGTACACACCTTGGCGGTTGAAGTTTTGAGTAGGCTTTGCCTTTTCAAATGTCGACTGTGGAGTTGCCCCGGGTACTGCATGACCGTACGATCAGTCTTGATAAGCAGGGAACCAAGAATATGAGGGGGTTATAAAAAACAAAATGTATAATTGGGTAAAGCAATAGTGTCTTTGTGACTTTCGAAAAAAAAAAAACACATCTTGATGTTTTCCCGCCGAGAAGAAAGCACTTATTTTTGATGAAAGGACAATACTTTTTTATGTCGTGCAGACTACCGACTGCGCCTTTAATGACCCGCCCACCATCCGTAGGTATGTGTTTCTTCTTATAGTAATCACACGAACTAATTCCTAGCAAAAATGTTAGATTGAACATTCGAGAATTCAAACCCACGTAGAAGTGTCTAGCTGTCTCCAAGTTTCCCTGGTAGGCGTCGGGTCAAATGTACACTTTCTACCATCTCATAGAGAGGGCCAGTTTGGATGTGCATTTCAAGAGGAGAATCTTTGTGTGTGTGTGTTTTTTTTCTGAAACCGAAGGGGGGGGGGGTCATGTGATCCCCCTGACCCCCTTAAGTCCGCCACTGTACTATGTGAGCAAAAGTGCGTAAAAAACGGTTATTTCAACCTATATTCCCAATTGACCAGCCTGAGGGAGACGCAAAAAATTTTGTTAGCCAGCTATAGATATATAGAATTTTTTTTATCCTCAACAAGATGTTGAATGGGTATTTCTCTTTTTTTGTACGAAATTCATGAAAATACAAATTTTATTCAATTAACTTTGGCTTTAATGTGAAAGCAAGCCACATTTCCCAGTGGTGAACAACCATAAAGGAATTTGAATATAATCCGTCCTGGTTCTGAATACCGCCCAATATCGATTTGAATAATTTTGTTGGCCCCTTGCCTGTCTTAAATTGATACTTTATACCATAATCTGCCCGTGCTATATCCATGTACAGTGGTTGTCACGCTACTAGGCAGGCAATCAAACAGATAAAGGTAGGATATCCCCATAATATGTGCCATGTGATTTTCTAATTGTGCACCCTGACTCCGCCAATGACATTAGACATACACACGTAAATATAAAAGCAAAAGTTAAGTCTAGTTTTGAATGTATTTGTTCTGAATATATTGGCATTAAGAAAAAGTTAACAACCTGAGTGTTTAATATCCGGTACAAGGATGCTTTAATTATTAACTGCTCTACAATTTTATTTCAAAACTGGATTGGTGGTTGCGAAGATTCCGTATAGTGGAAACCAACCCTGGCAAAATATTCCTTGTCAACACAAGACACTTTGATTGATTTTTGTTTTAAAAAAATTGTAAAATGCATGGATGGCATTATTAATAGCAATAAATGAATTAAAATAATTTTAAAATGCTTTTTTTCCAGCCGACGCTATTTTTCGCAATTTACAGGCACCGTCTTTATATAAAGATGTTTCTGTTTAAAGCGAGCTTTACTTCTACTTGTTTTGATTTACAAAACCCAACAAAAATATATCCCTTTTTATTTTTAAACCAAAAAAGTGTGCATTAATTGTGTGTTTTTATTGTAATTGGGACTCTCATAAATTGAAGACAATCTTTCACAGACCATTCATAAGTTATAAGGCAAACGCTGAAAGTCCTTTAGAAGTCATATTTGGGGGTTATTGACAATTTTGTGACCCATTGCAACTGATTAAATCAACATGGTCCTAAAGGAAAAGCAAAACATCTACACCGGATCCTTTGTCCCCGGATCCATCACCGGATCCCTCAATAGGTGTAACTTCTGGTTGGGTTACTGGAGGTAGGGTAGACTTGTCGCCCTTCAAGGGGTCAACCACTGGCTTAGTTGCGGCTGCAGGGGTGGGTGTCTCCTTCACAGGCACTCCAGGGGTCGGCGTGGGCTTGTTGGTGACCGGTTCCATGGAGACGGTGGGTGGTTCTACGGCGGTGGTGGCTGATGTGGTAACTGGTGTGGTGGTGGGGGCTGGGGTGGTCGAAGGGACGAAAGGATTTTCTGTAATAAATAAAGAGACGTACATCACAGCAGCAGGTAAAACAAAATACTAAATGCATCTACAATAGAACATAGACATGAACGGTCTCTCTGATGGGTAGCTCTCCAAACGTGAGGAGGTGATCCTAGACTATTATCACTGCTTTAATACCACACACTGCCTCCATACGTACCACACAATCCACAGTAACGTTCACAGTGGCCTTTAGCCCAGTCCTTGAACGCTCCACACGATTCCTTGGCATATTTATTACACTCGGTGGTCCCATCGGTATCTTTGCATCGGGTTTTCATTAGCTCGGCTACAATTAAATGATGAAGTTTACTACAACTTGTTCAAAAGATCAAGGAATCATACATGAGTTGGTAAATCAGGATGGACAGCGAATAAAAAATTGAAAAAGAAGATAGAAAAGAAGTAAGCCCGTTGGCAAACTTGCCCTTGGTAAACACAAAGTAAATAAACATTAAAAATGAAACATGAAGTCGAAGCTACCCACCATGGCAATAACCCCACTTCTTGTCCTGGTCATACTGACTGGTAGTTGAGCACCACGGGTAGTCAGCATTGCTCAGAATACAGCTGTCCACCTGCCTGCCTTTGTAGTTGAACGGGAACACGCAGGCGTTGCCATTGGAATTACCTTCGTTTGTGGCTGAAATAAAATGTGTGGAGTTTTAGGAATTGTCGGCACTTTTGATTACTGTTGTAGTAGAGCAGCAACACTGTGGTCGTTAACTTTCCTTCCTTTGTAACTGGTTATGTTTTTGTCGAGCTTTTAAACTATTGCAATCACACGTCTATTTTATTGTTTCTTTTTAATAATCCATATTGTGGTAGAAAATTATTTTAAAGAGATTCAATTGACAAGTAGAAGTTAGTATGATTGGGTATGGGAATGGTCCCTTATATATACTGTAGTCGTATTCACAGCAGATGATCTCCGGGCTTACTGATCCGTGGACCAAACATGTCTCACTCTATTAAAAAGCAATAACGAATAATCCCTGAATGGTCTCCCCGCCTCCACGCGCGCCTTCCCTGCAGGGGCCTAGCAATTAAAACTCAAAGCCGAAATTTAATCCGTGTGGAGGCGGGGAGACCATTAAAGGATTAGGCGGTGTTGCTTTCATGTAGAGTCCGCCATATTTGATCCGCAGATCAGTAGATCCGATGATCATCTGTTCTGAATGCGACCTATTGCCACTAAAACAAATCCTGTTGGACGGTGAATGGATTGTCGTATCGTTCAATGTGCTACCTGGCTGACTCCCATAATCACATGTACATCTCCAAGGATTGACAATTGATTAACAGTCAAGACAAATGCTATAAAAGATATTGTGTGTGGGTATACACAATAATTGTATATTTTGATTCACTTTTAAAGTTTAAATTTTTGTTTCTCTACCGCCGATTTTTTAAGGTAAAAGATAACTTTCTGAAATCCTGAACCTCAGTGTACATTAAATCATAAATGCCTTCGTCTAGCATGGTGAGTGCATGTAAAACGTAACTTACCACAGAATCCACAGCTTTTGGCACAGTTTTCCCTGGCCCAGGCGGACGTACAAATCCCTTGCCCGTAGTCAGCACAGTTAAATTGAATGTCGTAGCATCCTATATAAAATACAAATAATTAGCAAAACGAGGCATGATGTGCTTATCAATTAAATGTAGTAAATAAATAAGAAAATATCCCCAAACATCATAATTTCATATTGCTCAATCAATATACAGCAACAGAACTTATATTCATGTACTTTGCAGGCTGATTCAGAATATGTAGACCCCGTGGTCCACGCACATGGACCTTGCGTTGAGGAAACACAAAATAAATGACTTTGGTCCTAGTTTATCTTGCTGGACTGTTTGTATGTCGCTTTGGCTGTCGATCGTCTAATTCATGTTGCTATAATAATTTTGTTTTGGTGCTAATTCACCTACCCATACTAGCATCATTGTTGTTGTTGTCAGTGGTCTCTTTGATCTGGCTCGGTGGGATCTTCGACAACTCATCTCCACACACCAGCTTTCTACAGCACTCACCGTCAACCTGCAGTAACTTACAGTTTGGTGGGATCAGAGTGTACTCCGTGCAACTGAAAGGATACAATACATACAAAGAATTAATTGACACACAGATTACATGTAACAGGATGGATACAGCAGTCTTTGAATTAAATATTATTGACTTCATATTCCTAAAGTTCTACGAATAAAAAGGTTATATTTTTAGTCGCACATAAGAAAATTAGCTAATCATTAATTTAGAACCAAAGATTTAAGTAACATCATCAACTTGAAAACTACAAAATAATTACTACATTTATTTATTCTCATACAAAGAACATAAAGAGTGATATGAGTTTTCAGAGTTGAATTCTGACTTATGGTGACAATCACTTAGCATCCAACCTAACGCTATTTCTACTTGACACAGTTTTCAGTTGATGGATAAGTTCAAAATGCTGTGTCAACAAAGACCAAATTGGTGCTAATTTAGGAAGCATGTTACCCTTTTTTCATTTTCAAAATGTCTTTTAAGAAACATTTTATAACTCCCGAAAAAACCAAGAAGACCAATTAACCCCGCCTGTCTAGACCCATTTGACCCTGTCCAACCATTGATACGTACGCGCTCTGGCATGATATGAGGCCACGCTTGGCGTCCGTGCATTTACACTTGTAGTTACAACCTTCGTACCACTCCTCGTCTTGATCGTGCCATGTGCCGTTAGAACGACATTTCGCTAAATAATAGGTGGTGATAAACACTCTAAAACAGGGCATACCTACACATGAACATGCTGTCATATCGTCACATTACATCCACTGTTTACACTAGCAATAATAACCTTGCAAAAATGCCAATAGTCAGTTGCTTTAACCTCGATTAAGCATTTTGCAGTAATATCTACAAAACTATTTTGTTTTAATTTATTTTATACCGTTTATCTTTATTTGTACATAAAGTGTACATATTACCTGAGTTTCATACTTGGTTAAAATAAAGAGGATATCTCTGTATAATTAATGAACGGTTAGTAGCAATATAGAAATTTTTAGAATTTGGAGAAAAAAATAAGCAATCCATTTATCCTGACCTTCCCAGTCGCAGGACAGTTTGGGGCAGGCCTCCCCGGAGACGTCCACTAACGAGCAGTCCTTTGGAATGTGAGTGTACTGGGGACAGCTAAATGTGAACAAGCCGTATGGTGAGTTTGGTCCGCAGTTATCATAGATATTTTAAGACATGGAAAAGTGTGTGTGTGTGTGTGTGTGTGTGTGTGTGTGTGCTAAAGGGATGCCTACCTTTAATGAACTTAATAAAAATACCATCAGAAAAACGTGGGGTTAATTTACTGTTTCGACAAACTTTTAACTTTACAATACCGGTTAAACGCATTTATAATATAATTATACTTCAAATGCATATTAATTCAACATTCCTGATAGTACAAATATTTACGCTGTATCTTAATTGTTGTTGGTATTGTTTCAAACATGCAGTACGTACATGCTGGTGCAGGAAGTGGCGTTATTGACTGCAGAGATACATTGACAGACGATGTCATCCGAGGGGTGCCATTCCTCGCCCTGTTTGTACTCCTCTCCGTTATGTTTGCACACTGTGAAGTCGGGGGCTGTGAAATGAAATAAGACAACATGAAAATACAATATACATTAATATCAAGACAATCGGAAGACGACGTAACTCAAAATAACTATTAAGAAAGCATTTATAATAATACATGTTCCCCTAGACAGAGGCTGGTATTTGTTTCACATTTTTCTCGTCGTCTAATCAAGAGCAGGATGAAACTCTACATTTAATACTAATTGATAAATGAATTGTTTCATGTTCATCAGGGGAATTATCTGAAACTCAAATGGACGATGCACAATAAGACGATTACACGCTTTACACCAGGTGGTTGAACAGCAGTGAGATTTCACGCAGAGAGCAGATAACACGGCATCGGGACTGCTCAGATATCAAGAACACGACTTAACGTTAAATTTTCACAGCTCTAGTAGGCCTACTATCTTTAAAGAATTGTAATATTTTTCAAATTACTAATATATCGTAAAAAAGAAAGTGAGTGTCCCTGTGAATTTTGACACAGTTTCTGTTTAGTAAAACGTTTGTGATGGAGCACTTTGCATGATGCTACACACTACGAGTTTGGTTATTTTATGTTATTGATTCTAGTCACGAATAATAATAATAATCATAATTATTTTGCCAATTTGTCATGAAAATTAAAAAAAACACAATTAATCCAAGTGATTCCCATATCTAATGATAATTAATCACATGAAATCATATTGAAAAAAGTATCATCAAATTATTAAGCGTTGCGTTGTATCAGTCAAAATGTCGGTGCACTTTGGAAGAAGAAATATAACAAAGCCAACGTCCCTCTCCTCATTACTCCTATCTCACTTACTATAACATAGTTTAACTCGAAGGTGAACTGTATATTTCAAAACCGAAAAGCATTAGAAAACACTAAGTGTGTTACTGGAAGAAGACTGACAAAAATAACCTAACGCTTTTGTTCTGCGAATAACCCATCAAACCATTGTCGGCAAAATATGAAAATACTCTCGCTCATCAGGAGAAATTAATTAAGAAAGGTATCCACAAAAACTGGCTTAGAAAAATTAACCAACAAAACTGAAATACAACTAACCTGCAAAAGCAGCCGAAGCACAAAATACCACAGTTAAAGCGAACAACATATTCGTCCTTGTCTTTTGAAGAGTCTTCTTACAGTGTCAGCGCGTGGATTAATATTGTCGTAATAGTCTATTGGTTATATATGTAAAGGCACGACTTTCTTGACCTCTCGTGACATTTCACTCACGCTGCAAACAAGGCATGTGGTAGTATTCCCATGTCCCTTAAATGGAATCGTTACTTATTTAAGACTGGTTGGAATAAATGAAAACCGTTTAAGCCTGAGCTAGAAAGCAGACGCTTGATATCAGTACGACTCTAATTCCTTTTAAAGGCAAAAAAAGCCTAGGTATATTAGGCAAAATAGCTGTTACCCGTTTCTTTAAAAAAATTGAAAATATGCGAAATACTTTTCATAATATCATTGACAATTTGTAGTGAAAATAAGCACTTTAGGACCCTGAAACTCCAGGACCCTTAGGGTTGCAGTGTCTCTGCTAGGATAGAAGATATTTTGGGTCCTACAGTGGAGATAAGATCTCTGTTTCAAGTTTACATTGGCGGGCATCTAATTTTTTTCTGTCGGAACACGTTAAAATAAATTTTTATCTTATCTTTACTTTGGCTGTTACCGTCTTCCGTGACTGTCTTACAAACTTCGGAGACAAAAGATGCGATGAGACTATGGTTTAGATCATACGTGTGTGTGTGTGTGTGTGGTGGGGGTGGGGGGGGGTCTACCCACCTGTTTGTAAATTAGNGGGGGGGCTGTGGGGGGGGGCCGGTGGAGGATGGATAAAAATAAGGTAAATAGTAAATAGGAAGACTGTCAGAAAATATCTACGGATCTGCCCTGGATAGGGTCCCTGAGGGTGAGCTACTCTTTACAAGTATGATAGTTTCATTGGGAACGAGCTCTGTGACTGTTGCATAATGTTACCTTCGTTGTGTAATATCAGCACCCCCATTAAGAATTCCTTCAATGCACTGAAGTACACCCATTTCAAACATTTAAAAATGGGGTAGATTTAAACTGTGGTCATATCACTTATAAAATGGGTTAGCTGGGTTAGCTTTCAACTTTCCAATATGTCTGGCGAGGGAGGTTAGTACAGCGGCACTGTAGCACGGGACCCAGTTCCCCTGTCCCCAAAAGACTGAGCCAAGATCATACTTTACAGGTTATTTTTTATTGAAACATTCATTTCAGATGCAATATAAATGATGTTTTTATCTATTCCCATCTCTTGTCATTAGAAAAACAAATTGCTTTAAAAGAATTATATGTAGCGAAAATACATATACAGGGGCAGATTCTATACATCTTATATTTACATTATATACATCATTACAAGTTTCAAAAACCTGAATGAAAAATTGACTTATCTATAATCTGCATTTAGCAAAAGGATACTGTGCTGAATATGTACAATTTATATGGCTACAGATTAAAAAAAAAGGAAATGAAAAAGCCTTTTATCTATATTTGCCATTTCATTGATCTGTTGCTTTAATGTCTGCCTCTGAAAGGCTTTATCCGGTGCATCTTCATCACTACCATCACTGTGCACTACATCTAGCTTCCCACATGTTTAAAATATTTAAACGTGAAATATAACCAATGATTAGCTGTGAACACTCTGCCACTCATCTTTGCTGAACAGTTCCTTGTTTGTTTTTTATTCATCATACTCTTCATTTTTTTACAGAGATCAGTTGGATATTCCTTCTTTTCTGTTTCAATTATGTTTTTAAATCCACTGTGAAGAAATGACTTGACTGGAGAACCTTTTGACCCTCCAATATTAGCATCAGTCCCCAACCAGCTGGAGCACTATCGGGGCCTAAAGGCCTGGTCACACATCGTGAGGATGAATTGCGGATACAAATTTTCTTGGGATTCGGGCCTTCGTTGTCATTCGCAACAGAACTGATCAAAATGTCAAATTTTCCGCAATAGTATGCTATGCTGAGAAGAACAGTATGAATTACGAATATATGAATAATGTATTGTGTATGTATCACGAACAAAAGCGCAACAGAAACGCTTAGATCCGTAATATACGCAATATATTATTTACATTCGTGAAATGCACGTGATAGGGGTGCTCTACTTATGGTTGACATACTCCATACATGCTCTCCTAGTCTGCTAGGAAGCCACAATTTACCTGTGAGTTGCGGATAAGAGCAGAAAACAACGCATGTATTGCATATGTATTGCTTATGCATTGCGTATGTTTTGCGTATATCTTCCGCAACCAAATTTTTGAGCAGCTCATAAGTCTCGGGAACGGAAAAATGTGCCTCTTTCGGATTGACTGTACACCTTTCCTAATGTCCACAACAGCTGCATGGCAGTCTCTGATCCATCAAGGCGAAGACAAAGCTGTGTGCATGTCATTGGCTGAAATAACATCATGTTTTGCATTAACATATGAAATTTACCCGGATGAAAGGCTTTACCATAGTCCTATCTAACAATGATGAAATTCACAACAAATCACATCGACCAGTGGCTAACGTTGCAGACTGTTATCGTATTTATATTTCATTTTTACCGTCGCCAAAGAGGATATGTTTTTGCTTCTGTTTGTCTACATGCTTCGAATCTAAGTCTTTGAAAGACATATTTTTGCCGTTTTTCCACCCCTGTCGATAGTTATATTATTCCTGAATGGATGGCTCCCTATGAAAAGTTCGTTCCCTATGCCACGAACTACTTCTGTCCTATACGAAGATAACTGTCTCTTCCCAAGTGCAGCATACATGTACGGAATACGGCTTCAGTGTACGGTTCAGGCCGTTCATCAGAGTCATTGAGATGACATACTTTTAATTATAGGTACATTTACAATGGGAGCCATATGTTGTGTTGCTGGACATCCAAAGAAGTAAACAACACAGGTAAAACTGTACGCAACATACAGCGTGTCTTTGCTAATTTGTGACAACCAATTGTTCAGCATTTTACTTACCTTAGCCTGATAAAAATGAGCCATTGTGTATATGTATGATTTAAAGAAGCAGTCCAAAAGATCAGAGGTTTCAAAGATAAGGCATGGCTTAACCTGCACCAAGTACTGTTAACCGGTTAGTAAAATGATCAGGTCGCATGACATGACGCAAACACACACAGCAGTGCATGTGTATCATATAGCGTACGGTGCCTTGTACGAGAGAGTCCCCCGTGATACAGGGTCTGGTTTCCAGTGATTTGTACAGGTAAGTCACATCTTAGATTTTATCCACTTACGTCACACTAGCCTTAACCTCTATGAACCGAAAGAAAGACGGACTTCATTTACACAGACCATCAGTTTTTTAACGCCGGTAGTGTTGATGTGCAAATAAAAAGACGGTTCAGATGCTATCCTGATTGATATCCTCGGTTGGCTAACGTGACGAAAACCATGAAAAGGGGGGTCAAAGCTCAGCTGCTTATAAAGCATTTTATAAAACCTTTTGGGTTGAATTCTTCAGTAGGCTATGTAAGGTGACCAGGGTTATTTCAAATTATTTCAAAGGTACATGGTGATAGAAAAACAGACCAGTAAGAAGAAAATGCTGTGTGCCGGTCAATGAACAGTAGAATACAATATACTGCGGCACTTTAGATTAAGACTGAGTTCCCATACCTAGAACGATCTTACAGGATCGATCCATCTCCAAGGGGTTTCAGCTTAAGCGGCTTCGATGTCTGGCACGCCTACTGAAGCTGCTAAACGATAATTAATTACCTCGTAGCAGCCTCAGCAGGCGTGACAGACATCTAAGCAGCTTAAGGTGATTGCAATTTAGCGAGAATCCCCTTGGAGATAGATCGATTCACAGTTAGTACAATAGGGTGTGGGAATGGTCCCTAAAAGTCAAAGCTACATATATAGATATATAGATCACCCGGCCTCATGGGCCTACAAGTCACCGAACTTTGCACACATATCAGAAACAAAACAAAACAAAACAAAAAACTAAGATTAAGGTTGAAAGTTATAACTTAAGCAAATTTATAATTTATGCTACACTAAACTCTTGAGCCCTAAATAGCACTGACTGCCTTAAACTAAAACTGCTCTTAAAATAAATTGCCATGTCTTTAGGTATATTTTCAATTAAGTCAATCAGTATTTTGGATAAATCCTCCCTGTCAACATGATTACAGTCCAAGTCTCCCATAATCTTACAGCGTATGTCCTCGTATAGGGGACATACCAAAACAAAATGAAGCTCATCCTCAACCATGTTCTTATCACACAATTTGCAAAGGCGGGGCGAAGCCTCTTCCCCCACGTAGCGGCCAGCCTCTAGTCTCAGCGGCAGTATTCCGCATCTAAATTGGCGTAGTACTGATCTTAATGCCTTACCCATAGACAACCTAACATATGACTCACAAGTGAAGCACATATGTTCTTACCTTTGACTTTTTCAGAATATTGTTTTTCCATAACACCTTTTACAATTCGATAATTTTCCCTAATGACAGCTCGAAGTCTACTGCGGACCGCATATTGAACATATCTTCTAACTGTAGCTTTTGCATGATTATTCTGAGATCGCTACACCAATTGTTTTCATTTAACATTCATCTAGGTTAGTTGCATAGTACTTAGCTACAAAATTGCATAGTACTTAGCTACAAAATTGTTTAGTAAGATGCGAATCTGTCATAGACGGTATGTGTTCTTAAGATATTTCAGGGTTTTTCTGTCACTTTGGATGCCATTCAGTCCAACAATGACTTGTGATTTGAGAGGGCAAATATAGGCAGCCCCCTTCTTAATGCTGTGTCATCTGCTCTAAAGTGGCGCAATGGGGACTGACTTACACATGGAGCCCTGCTAGCGCACGGTATTCTAGACGAATGTGAAATTCTGCTGTTTTTGCAATTGCTGTATGACACATTCGTACTATACAATTTTTGGTGATTTTAGGTGACGAAAAAAGAAAGGGATGCTGGAATGAAAAACATCAAAAACGAACGGAACAGACAGCTTTCGTTGTGAGAAAAAACTTCCAGGGGATCTAATTTCCACGGGTGTTAAACTTTCCAGCAAGGCACTGCGAAGGATGAACTCTCCAGAAGCTGCGTCATCCGGAGCTAGTGATGGGTGCGACTCGTCCAGAGAAATTCTTTCGAAGGAAATTTTTGAAAACGCTGATGTCCATTCTATCGTCTTCCCCAAGAAAAAAATCATAAAGAACTTAACACTCTTGTGTGTGGCTTTTGTTTTTATGTTTGCAGCAGTCCAATCCTTGTTTGCGCTGCAGAGTAGTTTAAACAAAGATGAAGGGCTGGGAGTGTATGGTCTTGCCATTGTCTCCATTGCGGTGATAGTGTCATGCCTATTTGTTCCATCTCCCATGATATCTCTTCTTGGATGCAAATGGACGATCGTCACGGCGATGTTCTGTTATGTACTCTACATTGCAGGAAATTTCTACGCCGTTTGGGGTACAATGGTGCCGGCCTCCTTAATCATGGGGCTGGGTGCTGCACCCCTGTGGGCTGCCAAGTGTACATATTTGACAGAGTTAGCGCTCCAATATGCAAAACTGACTGGAGAAACCGCCACTGCCGTAGTGAATAGATTTTTTGGCATTTTCTTCGGATGCTTTCAAACAAGTACGTATAAATCTTGTATTAGAAATGTATCCTACAATATTCCACACACCATTTTCATTTAAGTTGTTTCTGACTTTTTTAAAACTACCTCCTTACAGAAAATGTGCAGTGCACGCATTTTGGTCAAACAAAAACTGATCACCTGAACGTCTTTATTTCTGTGTAAATTTTCTCATCACATACGTCAACTGTCATTAATATTTCTGTCCAGTGATGTTCCTGGCCAGTGGACGGAGGAAAATATTTGGAGCAGCTAAGCAGGTTATTTGTATTTCAACTTTTTGTGCAAGTGGGTTGAACTCCAAAGCCGCAATTGCGTTGAGTAGAGATAAGATTGGTATTTTGTCTTTTAACACACAGTCCACTAAAATAATAATGCACAAAGTACATGTAATTACAGCTTTTGTGGAGCCCGGTGTTACAGGCATGGAAGTCCGGACTCCCATATGATTAGTACAGGCAACGGTAAGTTGGAATATTGGGACAATGTCACCCGTACAAAGTAATGGGAAGCGGACTACGGTTCCTAGCGGACTTCCATTCCTGTTACACCGGCAAAAGTGGTGTTCAGTTCGAAACCCTCGAACCCCCCCCCCCTCACACACACACACACACACACACACACCACACACGCGCACACTACAGCCCTGGGGCATAAGTAGGCTCAGCACCTGTGGTCTATTTAATAGGCACATTTGAGACGAGAAAAGTCAAGATAGTAACGTGGACATTATTTAAATTGCACTGTGTGTAAAAGAAGTAAAATGACGTAGTTCTCTCTGCTCAACGTACATGTACTTTCGGTTTGGAAGTTCAACCCTTAGTGTTTTTCATCGAGACACTGACCGAAGGAAAAGTAAGAGACTCCTGATAGGAAAAAGGGTAACATTTCACAAATCGACCCGCTACCCCTCCTCCCCCCCTCCCCCGCACTTCAAGGCCCTGTGTTACCTAACTTGTTTCATTGCTAATAGAAATGATCCCTAAAAGTAAACAGTATATATTGGACAATTCTCTCTCTTTCTTTTCTAGGTGTCATGTTGGGTAATTTCGCATCTTCTCTGATTTTGAGTCAAAAACCGGAGAACGAAACAGAAATTTCCAAAGAACTTCTCGACAGATGTGGCGCCTCCTATTGCACGGGAGATGAGGATTTGGGAAATGTGACACACGCAGGTCTAAAAAGGCCACCGGCAGAGACAGTAAGTAGCTTTTTAAGAAAATCCCGTCCCCAGGTACAGCAAAACATTTTGACTCTCTTTTTTAAACATTTCAAACAAATTGCATCAACAAATTGCTGAAATGTCATGAAAATATTTTCACATGCATGTTTGCAGGCAAATCAAATTCCTTAAATGAAATGAATTTTTCTGAAATATATAATGACGGTGCCTTTAAAAACATTACATAACAGTTATATGATGTTACACAATCGTTTTACCATGGGATTTTCATTTAAACTTAGAACTTTGTAATATCTAAAAGAGTGCATCAAGCGTTATATAACTGACTTCTCGGGGAATACATGGGCTAGGTCCCCATTCATAGAAACGCGTGTTCTGGAGTATGATGTAATGGAAATAAGAGAGCTTTGGACACCTTTCACTTAGAGTCCTTCATAAAAGATTCGATGTCCTTGTCGGACTCATTTCGAACTATAGGGATTTTAGTCCCTTGGCATTGTTTTTGCGCTGTATATTTAGAAGTTGTAGCTTTAGAAGAGTGTCATGAGATTAACCAATTCATAATTATTCTACATTTTAAATGAATTAAATAGACAACAACGTTACATTTTCAATTTATTTCACTAAATTAGATTACTCGTGAAAATTTTCAGGATTGCGCCTTTTACAAAGCTCTTCCGTTTGATACTTTCTTAAACCTCTCTATCAAAATGCTTTTAAGATATTTCTGAGGCCACGCAAGTTTGAGCCAAAAGATGCATTATGGTAATGTTTTCGATGTCTTTTATCAGCGATTTAATAATTAATTTTTTTTTCAAATATGTATTAAATTATTTCTGAGGCCTCACAAGTTAAAGCTAGAAAATGTTTTGATAAGATGCTTTCGGTGACTTTTGACCATATCAAGTCTGCACAACACACACTGGCCAAAATTCACATCAGGCTAATAGAGAGCTAATCAACATCTTTAATGTGTAATTGTTGGAGATAAACGCACCTAACTTCATATTATCGGTTGGTAAAATAATGTGTCATCTTTCATTGGAGTTGACTGCCACATGCTGTTGTAACTTGTATACATGAAAGTTTTAACTCTACTCGGTTATTCTCAATCATATTTTCATCGTCCAAAAATACAATGCAATAAAAATTAAACACATTTCTCTAGTATACACGTGTTATGCTTATTTTCCTCCAGATTTACACTCTGTGCGGAATGTACGTAGCAAGTGGGGTAGTGGCGATCTTAATACTTGTGACATTTCTTGACCGACTGGCCGCACACCCAGATACACCAGGCAAGAAACGGCCTCTGATTTCAGTGCAGCTTCTCACGGCCACGTTTCAACAAACGAGGAGACGTGAGCAGCTTCTGCTCATCCCTCTCACCCTGTATAGTGGGTTGGAACAAGGATTTATAGGTGGAGATTTCACAAAAGTAAGTTTTATAAATTCACTTAGACAAAGTCAGATGTACCACGATAGTGCTACAATGAAGTACATGTATATACATGACTTCCCTGGCTAGTTTGCACCTTGCAAGAGATGAAAAAGTAAAAAGTAACGGCTGGCTGCGGTTTAATTATTCATTACGAAATCCTAAATAAATATGGTTTAATAAAGATATAATTACAGGCTCTCTAATACTACTAAACCCAAAAACAAAACTGATCACCTGAACGTCTTTATTTCTGTGTAAATTTTCTCATCACATACTGCATGTCACTGTCTGTTAAAGACTTCATATTTACCTCAGGTACAGCAACAAACAACAGTTTTCTCTCGGCTAAATGCTCACATTCACTCAAAAAAGACATGTATCTCATGTTCGATCGCGTCTTAGTGCAGGCATTTTCTATTTGTCATTGGAGTTTGGGTTTTGATTATCACCCTCTTTCCGTCAGGATCGCTAAGCCTTAACTTATTTTGGGTTAAAGGGAATTTGTTCCTAAATATGGTTAAAAGTCCATACTTCTTGTTTTTTTTTTCAGATTTTACATCGTATCAAAGAGCTGTGCCGCGAGGAAATTACAGTTACGAAAACGAAGTTATTTTTTTATTCTTCTCTCATTGTCTATAAAATACAATCATCTACAATTAAAGTCATCTTACACATTACACTTATCTCTAAAACATAAAAACAGACATCTTAAAACTGAGTAATCTTTCTGATTAAATCAATTTTTAAAACATTGCAATGTTTCTACATATTTTTGAGAACAAAGCTTTGATCCAAATTTGACGTTTTAATGTCTCCGAAGGTTAGGACAAAATAGCTGACGGCTTTTTTTATTGAAGATCTATTCTTAATTATGGCACCTGGGTGAAACACAAGTTTGCGGCATGTTGTTTTAATGACACCTCGATATAAATAGTTTAGCAGAATTCCAGCTTATTTTGTGGTTTCTGCAGATTTATAATGAAAAACTTATTGACATGTCAATCTGTGAAAGACGGTAGAATTAATTCAAGCATATTCAGAATTAACATACTACATGCGCATTCATCTGCTGTTTTATTTATGAACAAAACTTCTGAATAATTTCAGGTTTAAACGTGGTTGAAAAAATCTTTAAAACTGTTCTTGAAATTGGCCCATAGATATTCAAATGGGCTTAGTCAAATTAAGTAATCTGTGATTTTACTGAAACTGTTAGAAATGAATATGGGGCATATTCTGTATGAATGCGTGTGCATGGTGAATAAGCCATGGTTTTTATGAAGCATTTTCCTTTGTTTAATGATATATCATTTCAGTCGTATGTGAGTTGCAGTGAAGGTATTTGGAATGTGGGCTACGTGATGCTTTGCAATGCTGCCGTAGATGCCGTATGTTCCTTTGGTTTTGGGAAGTTGGTGAAAGACATTGGAAGAATTCCATTTTTCGTTTTTGGTAACTAATTCTTTCTCTTGGATTAGATAAAACACGAATCTAATATTGAGAAATATGTTTGCGAATCAACGTATAATTAATGTTGACACGTGTTACACAAGAAAAGTTCAGTGGTATTATATTTCATTGTTTGGTATTTCTTATCACGTGTTTTGATAAACATTTTGTTAAAAGAGTAGTCACAACCATTCAATGACATTTCACTCTGTACTGCTTCATGCACAAGAATGTTAAAAATAAAGCAGCCTTTGGCACAAAACTTGCTTGAAAATAAAACATAACACATTGGTGTTCATGTGGGAGCATACATATCTTAATGGACAGACACCAGGCCCGTAGCCAGGGGTGGGGGGGGGGGGGTCGGGGAGGGTTCGAAAGAACCCCCCTTTTTGCCGGGAAAAGGTCCCTTCTGGGTAAAATTTAGTCTAGTTAGACAAAGGTGACATGGTAAAAGACCCCCCTTTTTGAAATCGTTGGCTACGGGCCTGGACACCGTGTCTGGACATATAGCTATCACCTGCGTGTGTTGTCTGTCGTGCATACTATATTTTCCAAATATACAAAGTAGTACATTATAAAGAACTGGTGATCATGCCGATGTTTTTATCATAAACGTTGCATTTACATTGACACAAACGTCTTTGTACGCTTCCATTGTTAGGTTGCTTCTTTATCTTTATCTTCTGCCTGCCCATGAGACAGCTTTGCTGTCTTATGAAACCAAATGTATGTTAATAGGTGCATAGGCACAGTTGCTGCATAATTACCATTACTTATTTAACTTCAGGTTCTTTCCTACATCTGTCGCTGCAAGTGGTGTTTTTAACATGGCAGCCCACCTCAGACAGCCTAGCTTTGCTGTTTGTGTTTGCAGGACTTTGGGGGATGGGAGACGCTATATGGCAAACTCAAATTAATGGTACTGATCAATGTAGCCTAAGCCACAAGCATTGACGGATCAAGAAGTTATAACTTCTTGAGTAGAGACACTACCAAATGTCTGTTTGAAAGCCATTTTTTCACTGAGAAAGAGAGAGAGTGAGTGAGGGAGGGAGGGAGAGAGAGAGAGAGATTAGGAAAGGCAAGAAAACAAGACAAAACAAAACAAAAAAGCCAAAAAAGTAAAACCTAGTTTTTCAGTAATTTACTGTCGATTCTGATATATCTGTTTTATGCAATTTTAATCGCACATATAGAAAAGGAACATACCGTTATATTCTTTTATTTTCACAGTATTAGTGTCGTTAAATTTTATGGTTAAAGACATCAGCTATGACAGTGGCAATTTAAGGTGGAGAGGACAAAGCCCAGGTCATTTTCATTCTCTAACTTCATTAATGTAAGAGTTTCAGTTATGTGCTCCCAGAAGCTTTAAAAAATAATGAAAAATATTTTTTCAGCGTTATATGGAGTAGTGTTTCACAACAACCAGGCGGCAGCGTTCTCTAACTACCGCATGTGGGAGTCAGCTGGATTCATGTTGGCCTACGTCTTCAGTTTCCAGCTCTGTGTCTATGTAAAGTTGTACATCCTTATTGGCACTTTGGCCCTGGGCATGGGGGGCTACGTCACAGTGGAGGCCTTGCAGAAGAGGCAGACGCCTGGTCGAGAACTAAATACAGAGAAGACATCAGAACTGCCGACAGTGAAGGCATAAAGTTATAATGATTATCCCGTTGTGCTTTTATGTCTGTTTCCTTTTTTCTGTTAGAAGGTTGGATGAATGGTAAAATTCTTACGTGAAATTTAGCGTATCCTACAACCACTAAGACTCGAATTTACAATACAAAGTGTACGCAACTCATTGATAACATCCAGGGACCCTCTGACCATAACGTCAAATACTGCTACATTGCAAAACATCAAGGACTGTGTAACTCAATTCAATCAAATCATCAAGATAGGTGACTTACAGCTTTCGCTCATTCTTTCAAGTGCAAGTGAAGTGCTTCTTGAGAATGCTTCTTGAGCTTCCAACGGTTACAATTACTGGCCCAGGTTAAAATCTCCGCTATTGAATCCGTGCCACATATTGTAGTCCATAAGCTTTCACCCGCTTTCTTTATTTCCCCTTGCTCGCTTCCCCTCGTTTCTCCCTCGTAAAGCCACACTTTCTAAACTTCCTTTGCCAATTGCCTTGATAACCTGTCCAAGTCCACGGAATTGCCTCTGGATGATGGTTTGGAGTAACGCACGTTTACATAGTTATAATGGTTAGGGTTAGTTTGACTTAACTGGGTCAAAATCTAGAGCGAGGCTCACCTGCACAAATGAATGGGAAGCGGACTCTGTCACGTAACACCGACTCCCCTCTCCAACTCTCACTACCTAAACAGTTGGAGATTTAGGGGGATGTCAGAGGGGTCCTGACCCCCCTTCGATTTCTGAAAAAAAGATCACACCAATGGTCCCCTCTTGAAATTAGAATTTTGACTAACTGAATCATAGCATTAAACCATACTTAAGGGCACCCCTAAAATACCAAAAATTTCGGGGGCCTTCAGCGGCCCCCGAACCCCACGCCAAGGGGAGAGAGGTGGGGGCCGGCTTTGCATCTGCGAACCCCCCTTTAAAATAATTCTGGATCCGCCCCTGGGTGTGCAAATATATATTGATAGCTTGGCATATAAGGGGTGTTTTTGTCTTGAGATAAAATGGATTGTTGGGGTAAAAGAAGCACTTGAAAACAATAATAAAGGATACCAAAATTTCTGTCTATTGTTTCTTTTTCTTGTTATTCGTTTTTGACTTGATTATTCGTTTGTGCATTTTATTGAAATATTCATGAAGCCCAGATTTTGGAAGAAGGGCAGCTGCCGCAATGAAGCCCACATAATCTTCTAGCTCATTTCATTTACCTGCACATTTACCACATCGTCTCCATAATAACAATATAAGCTCTTTCTGTAAAATAGCAAAATTTCTGTCCACAATTAACTGATTTTGCAAGAATGAAATACTGCTTCATTTATAAATTACGACACTGACTATATTTCTAAGTTTAAAGTAAAACGAGAAAAGTTGAAAAAAAGAGAGTAAACGTTTGAATTTTTTTCTATAAACATCGCAAAAAGTACCCCAATACCCGTCAAAAGTCGGAACTGTATAAGATTTTCACTTTTAAGATAACGATTCCCTGTTTATATTTGAATATGCGTAGGCGCTGGCGGTACACATGGTTTTAGTCCCGACCCGCATGTTCCGCCGGCTTCGCCGCCATCTCACCGTTACCGCTTCTCCTCCTAGACTACAAGGACCTGCGTACCCATCTCTTGGATTTAGGTCACCTATAATCTCAACTCGTTCCATGTAATTTTGGGGTCTGTCGGTGCCGGGGTCTAGGTGTGGCGCTCATTGCAACGCACCCTTGTCCAAAAATGGCAAAATTAAATGCTAATTATCTACCATACGGAAAGAATTATGGGAAAAATTTCTACAGACGGCTGACAGAAAGTCATATGTGGAGATTTCATATATGCCCTTGGATTTGACCTTTGACCTTTATTTCAGGGTCAAACGGGCCAAAATTTTCAGAAAAAGGAAGTTTTTTACGAAAGAAAAATTATTTGCGCTTATGTTCAGACAGATTTGGAATTATTTGCGCTTATGTACACAGACCTAACCTATAATATTATTGGCAGGTGTTACCCTTCAGGTCATCTTTCATCTCCGTGAGTTTGGGGTCAATCGGTGCATTTTCACGGGAGTAGCGACCAAAAGCAGGGGTGGATTTAGGCCGTCTTCTGGGTCTTCTAGAAGACGGTCAGATTTTCAAGTTTACATTGTCAGCCATCTAATGTTTTCTGTCGGAAGACGGTCAAAAATGGAAGATGGATCAACGAAGATAATTTGGAAGACTGTCAGAAAATATCTCTGGATCCGCCCCTGAAAAGATACCGAAACTGAAAACTGTCTCCAATTCGGGAACCGTTAATGCTAGAGACCTATTCTTTTTTGCATTTTGTAGAGCATGTCAAGCCTAACACTGAAGGTGGTCTCCGTTTTTTTTCCGAACGGTTTACGAGTTATGCTGTATCAAAAAGTACATTGTGGTGGTGAAAGCAAAATGTGCAATACGGTAATGTGTAATAAATTTTGAACCCCTGGAAAATAAAACAGAAGACCGAGGCAGACAACTTCTGGTCAAAAATGACATTATTTCATGAAATTTGAACATCTGGAACTTCTGAGCACCTCCCATTTCAAGAATTTCAACCAAAATGACATTTTCTTTATTTCAATTAATTTTTTTGTTGGAAATTTATGGCACATAATTTAACTCCAAAATTGTAACATTTAATCCCTTATATCTCCAAAACTCGCAGAGATAGGTCCATAGTTACTATAGAAGTTGAATAGGAAGTCATATACTGGCAATCTAATTGTGACCTTAGAATTGACCTTTGACCTACTTTTCACCATGAACTGAACTTTGCAACATTTAAGTCCCTAATCTCTCCAAAACTGGCAAAGAAATGCCCATAGTTACTATTGAAGTTGAATAGGAAGTCATATACTGGCAATCTAATTGTGACCCTGAAATTGACCTTTGACCTTATTTTCACCATGAACTGCACTTTGTAAATTTTCTGATCTTTATATCTCCAAAACTGGCAAAGATATGCACATAGTTACTGTTGAACTTGAATAGGAAGTCATATACTGGCAATCTAACTGTGACCCTGAAATTGACCTTTGACCTTATTTTCACCATGAACTGAACTTTATATCCCAAAAACCGACAGAGATACACCCATAGTTACAATTAAAGTTAAATAGGAAATCATATACTGGCAACTAACTGTGACCTTAAAATTGACGTTTGACCTACTTTTTATGATGAACTGCTTTTTGCATGTTTTCTGGCCTTTACATCTCCAAAATTGGCAAAGAAATGCCCATGGTTACTATTGAACTTGAATAGGAAGTCATATACTGTGACATTGAAATTGACCTTTGACCTACTTTTTCACCATGAACTGAGCTTTACATATTTTCTTGTCCCTCATATCTTCAAAACTAACAGAGATATGCCTAGTGTTGCCTCATGGTTTTTTTCTTTTGTCAGCATATATGCAACACTGACAACACATTTCAAGGAAAAACAATAGGTCTATTGTCTAGAGAAACACAGGAGTGATCAATGTTAGGAAAATACAGGTCATTTCGAAAATCTGCTTGCTTGTACCATTTTTAGTTATATTTTTTGCATATTTTAAGAATTTTGTCAATTACATGATATAGAGCTTCTCAAGCACAAGACTGGTGGTGGTGGTGTCCCTTTTTTGGGGGGGTTTCCATTCGAATACGCTTACTCCAGCTGGTGGTACAACATCCGGAGGCGGTATCGCCTCTCTGATCCTCTAGTTATTTTTGTGTAAAGCTCTATTTTAAAAGAACGGAAAGAAAAGTCTTCAAACTATTTTATTTGATGTAAAAGTTTCATATCGATGGCTTTATTTAAATTAACGTTTTTTTTTTTTTTGGTTTTAAGTCACCAGAATGCGAGTAAAAAATGATGAACATATTAAATCTCTCAAATATCTCAAAATACAGAGAAATTGGTAATCAAAACATGTGCTCATTTATGTACCTGTTTAATGATGTTGAAATTCGTGTCTTTGCAGTATTTAAGGCGATGGAATTACAGCCTGGACCGAAGCTATGATCCAAGATTGAAGTACATGTAGCTCTTAACCAAGAAGCGAACATCCTCATGCAGTAAATAGACAACAATCTCATATTATTTTTGTATTTTATATCGCCAGCCGGTCAGTTATTCAATCTGAAGTTGCCTTCTACAGTTGCAGGGGCCCGATTGGGGGGGGGGGGGGCAAGGGGGCCTGGCCCCCCCCCCCCCCCCCCCCCCCCTCCACC